CACACTCACACTCACACAAAGGTGAGGAGGCGTGGGCTCGGCTGCAAGGCCACCGTGTGTGTCAGCCCCGCCCTGCTCGGCTCGGCCAAGCTGGCCGACACTGCACTGTACGGCAAGTCTCTGCACAACATGCGAGCCGTTTGGAGCGTTCTAACGCAGTACGCAAGGGGTGTTCGGGATGCCGATTCAAAGCAATACGACGGCTAATTGTCTACTTCGGGGAGCTGCCCGCCTGCAAGGTTGGCAACCCTGTGGTCACGAGCGGTTGTTGGATCGACTCGAACTCGCTCGAACTCCTTTTCTCACAGGATTGGATTGACTGGTAATCCGCCAACAGCTGATCACTTGAGGCACCGGTTTTCACACGTTTTCAGAAGCATTCGCGATTTGCAAACACGACCGCAAGAGTATTTATTTTCAGGCTAAAGAACTCCTTACTAGCTTTGTCTTGGGTTAGGGATCAACCAGCAGAAAGTACGTCAGTCATTCGCCGTTACGAACCTTCAAAGTTCAGCCAATGCAATTTCATGTCATGGAGCCTGATGGGTAGGCAAAATCTTGCCTGCAGTGCAAGCGTGTACTGCAGGATGGCCTACCCCGAGACTCGCAGGCGCTGAGCTCCTACGAGTTTGCAGAATGAATCTAATAAAAACAGGCGTGTACTCTTTGATCCCTTACATCGCGAACCTCTGTTCTTCGCAAGCCATTATTTGCAGCGCGCGCCGCGCCCACGCGCCCACAATCCTCGTCCTCATTTAGGACTACTCGTCTTATCTTCGCTTCGTCCTGCCGCGTGTTTATCGCCGCCCCGCCCACCTCGCCCCACTGCGCCCAGCCCCGCCCCGCCCCGCCCCGCCCCGCCACGGCGGCAGAAGCGGTCGGGAGTCGGTGAGGCGCCGCGGCTCGCCAATAGCCGCCGATCCGACTCGACGAGCCGTTTCGAAACGAGGGAAAAGCAGAAGGCCCTGGGAGGCGAGAGGGGGTCAGGAGAGGAGGGGTGCGGGTGGCGCTGGCGGTAAAAAGCGGCGTGCGCGGTCAAGTGTGACGGCACATGAGGAGGAGCGGCCCAAACGGGCGCCAGGTAACACCAGAGCCTCAGGGGTTACCACTGTCGCGCGAATGCCCCCCAATCTGAGGCTGGCCTTCCTCCTAAACCATAGCTCTCAGTCAGAGCGAGTTTAAGGGATGCACGCGCGATGGCCACGAGGCCCGCGGTCCCACACCACGCGACCCCGGGCCGCCGGGCGCGCACCGGGACTCTAGCGCCGCGGGGCCGCCGTCGTAGGGCTGCATCACGCACCGCTCCTCCTGCAGGGCTCGGACGGGCAGGCCGCGGGGCGGGGCGGGACCGATTTAGACAACGCTTTCGTCTGACTCGGCAGCAATGCGGGCGTGACTGAAACAGACACACGGCAGTCGGCGCAGCCGCAGCGCTCAAGATCATCGGACTTGTAGGACACACAATAAACAATCGGGGACGCGCGGGGACGGGCGGGGCGGGGCGGAGTTGGGGCGCGGCGGGGTTGGGGCGGGCGCGAGCCGCTGCCAGCACACCGCGGGCCTGGGCAGGAAGCTGGAGGCGGGCGGTTGGCCGCTGTCAACGGCCCCCGGCCGGGGGCTCGCCGTGCTGGACCCGGGGCAGCGCGCCGCGGAGCTCAAAGTGGGGGACCCATACTCTTTCAAGCTAATTGCCGCTCCCCCGCCCACTCCTTGTACCCTAATCCAGAGGGGGCGGCTCGCGAGGACGGCGACCCCCTCTGCGTCAACTCTGTCTCTCTCTCTCCCCGGTTCTAAATTAGAAGCCACGTCGGCCTTGTGAGAAGTGCCGCGCCCCACGATGTGGATCGACGGGGACCCTCCGCGCGTCACCCTGGGCGCCCCTGATGAAGTCATTTGTAGTCGGGGCTGTCAACCCCGGGGCGCCCCGCCCCGCCCCGCCCCCGCGACACAATGGCCGCCACGCGCCCGGCCGCGGTTCCCTGGCGGTCCCCCGCCGGTCCCAGCTGACAGATAGTCCCCGCTTGACGGCTGCGCCTCAGCGGGGTCGCTGTCGCTGCGCTGCGCTGAACTGCGCCGGGCGCGCACGGGGGCGACGCGCCGCACGGCTAGACTCGACTCGGTTACGGTTAGTCGACCAGACCAGACCATGCCAAGAGCTGCGCGCCACGCCACGCCGCGCCACGGCAGACGCCGTCGTTGGAAATAGCCAAACACTCATCTCTTCCTGCAGCAGCGGCGTAGCCCGGGCTAATGTACCGGGGCGGGGGTGGGGTGAGGAGGGGCACCGGTCGCCTCCACCCACCCCGCCGTATGTTAGCGACCGCCCCAGCTCGCGAGGTCCCAGGAGAGCGTGCTTGCTCGGTGGCTGCTGCACCGGAACAGGAGAGGGAAGTGCGAACAAGATGATGCGCGACGCTGCCTGCAAGAAATATTGACAGGAAGAGGGTGGGAGGAGAAAACGCGCAGAAAAATTCCTTTTCACTTTCTTTCCTCGACCTGGGCTTCGTTAGCGTCCCGCGCGCTCGCCTATTGGCCGGGACTTCCCTGCCGCGGTGCGCTGCGCAGAGGCATTTGCCCCCCCCCTCTACTCGTCCGTCATCCCGCACCGTGTCCGTCGCGCCGGCTACCAAACGAGCATATCGCACTCGGAGGAGACAATGGGCCCAGCTGCGCACGCCGCGCCCCGCCCCGCCACACCCACCGCCACGGCGTGGCCGCAGCCGGCCACAGCGGACGGGACGAGTATTTTGGGCAACGCTCTCTCTGTACACCACACAGCTCTCCTGCGCCCCGCTCGGAGCCACAATGCCTGGCCGAGCGGCGCTCCGCCCGACCCTCGCCACGCCTACACCCACCCCCTTCGCATCGCCGCCTGGATCCACCCACAGAACTCAAAATACAAAAAAGAAAAAAAATTAACTCGAGTTTTTAATCGACTCTGATGAAGTGTTACAATACCCCTCCATTTCACCAAACCGTTGGGTACCTCCACTACGCAAGTACTTAAATGAAGAGAGCAGCAAGGTAGTAGTTATTTTCCAGAAGTAATTTCTGTTGGCGTCTTTGTCAAATAGAGCTAATCAATTTTACAAGTCTGCTGAAGCAAGTCACTAGACAATCAGGGCCCCTTTCAGGTGTACCCTAACGCCACAGCAAGGAGGATAGAAAAAGTCAGGGACGCTTTAGGGTTGACAAACACTTAACAAATGATCTCTGAGAGTTTCCAAAGGGTACTGGCCTCACTGGCACTACAGGCAGCATCCAACCATTAATCTGGCGTCTCAAACATGGCATTTCTTCACTCCGCTTCCTCAAAGTCCCAAAATATACATTGTGTAAGAAAAAACTAATGATTAAAATAACTACATTTTGAACGCACGCAAATATGTTAAAAATTATGTTAAAATAAGATCAGAGCATGCTACTAAAACTGACATTACAAGAGAAGAATTCTATATTGATATCAAGACTCTGGGCAAGTTAACTATAAGCAGAAATAGAATTAAAATTATGCTAAACGCTATATCAAATTATTTGAATCTTGACAAGAACTGAGGACATTTGGACATTTACATTCAAAGCTGCAGCTATGCTAGACAGCCTCAACGTTGGATTCGTAGACAATCTACTAATGCTAAGAGACACGTAAATCTGAGTTTCAAAATCGTATAATACTGGAATACTTACTGTTTAGGAGACTATGAAGGGAGAGATAACACGTCCAATAATCCACAGGTTAAGGGCGTGAGAACTGTTGAGAAAACACCTTTAAGAAGCACAGCACACAATCACTTCTCTTCTCAATATTATGTTTCTGTCCTAACTCCATTCCAACAACGCTTCATCATGACAACAACACCACTTCCATCACGAACTTAAAAACCAAAACATAACGCCCAGCAGACGAGCACACTCCCGAACGCCATCATCACTTCTGTTATTCACACCGCCTTCTCGGAAGCCCGCAAAATTTAAAAGTGAACACACCGCCTTCTCGCAACAGCGGCGGCGCCCGCGCAGTGCCGCCAACCTCTGTCCGCGCGCACGCGGCGCGGGGAAGACCCGGGGCCCAGTCCAGGTTGCTCCGCGCACCGCGCATGCTCTCGCGGAGCCGGCGCTGCGCTCGCTGCGCGCATGGAGTCGTGCAGCGGCAGGAGACCTCCTCGCGAGTCCTGTGCCCCGGGCATTGCGCGCGCTCAATCCGCACTGGACGGCAACGTGACGTGAAAAAAAAGGGGGGGGGGGTCCCTATCTCCCCCTTTCCTCGTTCGGCGCGCACGCCGGTAAAATTTTTTAACTTTCACGACAGGATTTTATTTTTGATGGTCCACCCCGACAGACCCCTCCCTATCTCCTGTCACATATCTAATATCTGAAATCAAGATAGACTAGCATGATGTATTCGACCTTGAGATTATCCACAGCAGCCCATTCTTCCTGCGACGCGTCGCCTGGAATTGCTGGGACCTGCCTGGAACCACGGATGTTGTTCATCCCCTTCGGAGCAATCGCAATAATTCTCTGATTAAAGTATTTCCAGTGGCGTGACGTGTGACGGTCTAGTTCGTTGAAACACGCACACAGACTTGTATGATGTTTTAGGTTTCGGCTGCTCTATCAATGATCGGCCTATAGGGATTGCGAGCGGCATGACAGGGCAACTTGGCAGACTGGTCTTGGCAAAAGGCACGAATCTTGACGTGGTCAACCCGCGGCCCATTCGCGGCTGCCTTTTTTGCAACTTTTTGAGAAGAATTTTGCCCGCAACTTCATCAGCGGGCGAGACTGGCGAGAAGCGCCCGTGGGGTAGGCAACTTATTTGACACGTCGCGTGACAATTTCTAACGGCGGTGAGACTCTCTCATCGGTATGTGTCGAATAAGGCCGGTAGTAATAACAACACATTTTGCTTACGGCTGAAAAATAATGTGGCGGAATTATCTCTGAAAATGTATGAAGACAGCGTAGCAGACTCGCGCGTCGGTTTGTCCGTTTGGGGTTTTGGCGCTCTGCAGGAGTGCCAGCAGAACGAAACCATACTCGAAACTTTGGAAGATCTGTATCATGTAAACACTTTCCCTTGATAATTTCGTTATTTTATTACTTGTGAAATAAGGGTTTCTGGCGTAGTAACGTTTGTGACAACATTTACTTATCTTTTTCAAATGTGTACCTAGTCGAAATAACCGATCGACAACTCGAGACCAGAGCAGACGGAATCATCGAGTGCATTTTCAACTGGAAAGATGGCTACGGTTTCATGGAAAGTTGCTTTATCTTCAAGAATATTAATAAGAAACCTTGTGAATGAACTAAAAGATAGTCACAACAGTGTAAGAAGGAACTATTCTATCTCCTGCACTTTTACAAGGAGCCGAGCGTCCGTGCCTTATCGATTTAACACCCGATGTTATGGTAAGGACAAGCATGTTGTAAAATGTTAGGTTAGGATTTCGCCGATAAACAATGAAAAAGTTTTTTGTTCGACTGTAATGATAAAGCCTTTCTTCCTGATTTGAAAATTTACTCCTAAGTACTTCATATATCACCTCACCCATATGTCTAAATGATCCTAGCTTGTACCAAATTTTGTAAATATCTTTCATGTTGCAGCCACAGAGAATGCTCCTGCTGGGAAAACCTCAGTATTCAAACAACTGGGCGATGACCCAAAGAAAGATTCAATAATCAAACAGTTAGAAGAAGAGCAAAAGAAGGATGAGGAGGAAGCAAGAAAACATCGTGAGCAGCATTGGCGCAACACCAAGAGAGGTTTAATTGCATGTGGAGGGATGTTGACTATCTCGTTCGGATACATGATCTACAGTTTTGGTATGCATCAGTCTTTATTTCACTATCTCCAGAAGTCATTGTTGTTTCACACTTGCGATATAATTTTTCAGGAGCTTCTCCAAGAGATGAACAAGGAAACCTTATTTCTGATGAGTTCTCTAGCCTGCCCTTTTTCCAGCAATATACAGGCAGAATAATGAAAGAAATGGAGTATTTCAAAAAGGTAGATTTGTTTGTATGGTGTTCAGCAAGCTACTGACTCACATTACAACTGTTCTTACTGTCATATTTTTGTCTACTCCAGCTGTTTGGCGAGCCATCCCGTGAAAAACTTCTCCCAGATCCCCTAACCTACCCTTATATTCAGCCTCCCTACACACTAGTGCTTGAATTTACTGATATGTTAGTTCACCCTGACTGGACTGTAAGTACTCTCAAACATGCCTTGAGTTCTTGTATCTTCTCACTTAGTTTACCATTCCTAACTTGCTGACATTTACAGTATCAAACTGGGTGGAGATTTAAGAAGCGTCCTGGTGTTGATTACTTCCTAGAACAAATTGCACCTCCATTGTTTGAAGTAGTTGTTTATACGTCTGAGTCTGGCATGGTAAGATTTTCATTCTGAATCATGCTTGTGTTGGAACTAGGGTGCTAATTCTGGTAAAATTATGAATGGTTTCTGTTTTTTTAGACTGTGTTTCCCATCTTGGATGCCTTGGACCCCAATGGTTACATTATGTACCGTCTTGTGAGGGATTCTACAAAGTTTGCTGATGGCCATCATGTTAAAGCCCTAGACCACTTAAATAGAGATTTAAGTAAAGTTATAGTTGTAGATTGGAATTCGTCTTCCGTGAAGTCAAATTCACGCAATGCCTTGCTCATACCTCGCTGGAATGGTAATGACAATGATAGAACACTCATTGATCTTGCCGCTTTTCTCAAAAGTAAGTGATAGCATTTTACATTCTATGTTACCGTGTTTATAACCAATAAGTATAATTTACTAATCTTGATTAACATTTGTATTTTTATTAGTGCTAGCAAACAACAAAGTTGAGGATGTGAGAGACGTTTTAGATTATTACCAACAGTTTGAAGACCCCTTGCAAGCTTTCCGAGAAAATGAAAGAAAAGTTTTGGTGAGTTGATTGAGACAAATGCAATGTATGTTACTATTTTTGAAAAGTTTTTTAATTTTTTCAAATTTTTTCTTGGTGTTTGATTAGGAGAGCTTGGAACAGAAGGAACGGGAACGGAAAGATAACCAAGGGGGTCTTGCTCAACGGTGGAGGCCAACATTTCTAAGGAAAACTTGAGCTTTTACCTAAAATGGCAGTGTCAAACCACAATTTTCCTCTCTTTGTCTGAAGATATCACAATTCCTCAAGTGGCATTTATGTAACTAGTTTCAAGTAACACTGATTACAGTTTTAACTTAGAATTGATCCTTGAGGGTTCTGCTCATTATCAGTAATCCAATTCCCTAAAGACCTATGAGAATTTTTTTCCTGCATGCCCTTTGTGGCCATTGGCCGTCTTGACATTCAGTGTCAAGAAAACAAGTGTTGTTAGATCAATTTTGTAGACTTTTGTGATTTGAAACCGCATGGTTTTGATACTTGAGCTAACCAGCTGACTGCCAAACATATTGACTTCACACAATTGTAGCTTTCATGCTTAATTAGGCTCAAACAATACTATGATGATTTTAAGATCTAGTATCTCTGCAGCATGTTGTATCAAAGCCAATTGCAGTTGTAGTGCACAATGATAATCATAATATGGCTGTCAGTGTGTGTCATCTTTTTTTTTTTTCCCAGAGCTGTTAAGTTTGACATTTCTTTATGATAAAAGGGAGTATTCATTCATTCATATATTTTGTTTAGTGTTTATTTCATTCCCCTTACCCATTGCAAGAAAATACAAATGATGTTACAATTTGCTTTTTCACACTGAATGAGTTAAAAATTCAACAAGTACATAATTTTTTGTGTCCTTTTTTTTTTCTCGAAGGGTGGAGGGAACATTGGTCGAATTATTGATTGATGTAAGACTGCAAGTAGGAAGAATATTAAACTTTTGTACTAAAGTTATGTGTTCCCGAGAACATGCAGGGAATGAAAATAAAGTACATCTGATGTCATCTCTATTAAAGCAGTGGGCCTAACTTTCGTTCATATTAATAAATAGCAGCAAAATTATTTACAAATTTTATATTCTACTTACAGATTTACATTCTGTGAAGGCTTTCAATATTATCGAGAAGTTTTGCCATGAGCTGAAAAGAAGTTATTGTACCTAGGCTTCACTTCTCCTGCACAGCACTCACACTGACCAAGATTCTTTCTTTAGTGTGCATTATTTTCATTTCAAGAACAAAAATGACTTCAGAATTAAAACCTTCATAGAATTAGAAAATCTACATAAATAATCAGTCATTCCTGTCACACACTTGAACATGACAAGTGGCTTGCTTTCTAAAATGTAAACTAAAACACCTCACCAAGCCGCTGTTTTTTTTTGTGTCCAATCTTTCACTTCTGATTATAAAAAATATACAGTAGCTGTACAGTACTCTACAGGACATTATTTCTATACAAGTATCATACACAAATATACACATGGAAAAAATATCACCCCTCCTTAACTGCTCAGAAGTGGAACAGGTTCGGATTTTTTGATCACAGAAGACCGGTGCATGTAAATTTTTGGGCAAGGATTCCGCCCGCACCCTACGGCATGCCTACGGCCGCTTGGGCATACTGAGCGGGATGTAGCGCTGTGTGTGCGGCTGCGCGTGCGCGCTAGGGTCCTTGTCGGCGCGGCTGTAGGACAGTGGCACCAGGTACGGGGTGGGCTCGCCCGTGGGGGGTGCCGTCGTGGAGGCCGGGGCGGCGCTGCTGCCGGAGCCGCCCCCGGTGCCGGCCCCGGGAGCAGAGGTGGTCGCGCCGGAGACGTGCTTGGCCTTCCGCTGCTGGGGGCCGCCGGCGGGGGCGCCCTTGGAGCCCGCGGCCTGCGCGCCGGAGGAGCTCGACCCGGCCTCGATGTCCCGCCCGGTGAAGAAGCTGTTGACGGCCGCGAAGGGCATGAAGGCGAGGCGGGCGTAGCGCTCCGCCTGCTCCAGCAGCGCGACCAGCCGCTGCGGCAGCAGCTGCACCGTGATGGACCGCTCGCTCCAGTTGCCCGCGGGCGGCGGCGGCGGCTGGTGCGAGGGGTCGGCGTCGAAGAAGGAGAAGGCGCGACTGTTGTTGTAGGCGCGTCGGCTCTCCTTGTCCTGCTGGGGGGAGGGCGCGGGGGGCTTGGACGGCGGCCAGTGCTGCCAGATGTGCGTGCCTCCGAGAGGGGGTGGGTTGAGGTCCACGGCGGGCGTCCACTCCGGCGCCGTCGTCTTGTCGCGGAGGTCCCGGCCCGTGCCGCTCTCGGACGCAGCAGAGGCCGGATCGGTCGTGTCCTCCGCTTCAGAGGTTTCGGATTTGGAGGGCGCCGAGGTGGCATTCGTACCGGGGCCAGGCGAGCTGGTTGTCGTTGTGGTCGTTGACGTCGTGGGCTTGAGGACGGGTTCAGTGATCTCCGGCTTGTTCAGTGCACCCTCGGTCTGCTGGAAGCTCCGGCGGTCGCCTGCCACCGCCTCCTGCGCCGCGGCCGTCGACGACCGCACGAGCACCGGCTCGGATATTTCCGGCTTGGGGGCGGGCGCGGCGGGCGGGGCCGGCGCAGCTGGCACGACGGCCTCCACGCTCACGGCGGGCACGGGCGTCTGAGCGGGCTCGGTGGCATCCTCGCGGTCCGTGCCGTTCAGCGGCTGCAGCGTCGTGACGCCCACCTGCTGCTGGTCGTCGAAGGCGCGCGCGTCGTCCCGGTTGCGCGTAGCGCTGTCGAGCCCGTTGTTGGTGGTCTCCGGGAGGTCGTCCAGGAGCGGCTGCCACGCTGGACCCGTCGCGTCCAGCAGGTCGAGCAGCGCGTCCTCCTCGGCGTGCTCCGTCGACGGGTCGGTGGACGTGTCTGTGGACGTGCCGTTCAGCCCCTCGTCGCCCACGTGCACGACCTGGGTCGGGACGAAGCGCGTCGTGTTGCGGTTCATGAGCAGCGCCGTGAGGTTGAAGCCCGGGTGCAGCCCCGCGCTCTGCACCACGCCCTGCCCGAGCTGGGCCTGCGCCGGGGCCTGCCCCAGCACGGACGACGACACTTCGTTGGTGTCAGACGACGGCCCGCCTGTCCCGGACACCTGGAGCTGCGAACATGAGATACATGAGTGTGGAACGGCGTCGAATGACAGATGACCCCCTCCCCGACCGCTTCCCACGCACTCCTCCCGGGGAATGCGGCGTGACCGACTAACCTGCGCGGAGACGGTCTCGCGGGGCGGGTTGCACTCGCCGGCGAACAGCGGCAGCGTCACGGGGACGCCCGACTCCAGCACCAGGTCCTTCTTGCACACCGAGGAGCTCTTGCCGAAGCTGTCGCTGAGCGTGACCTTGTCGATGGACCAGCGGGCGAGGCCCGAGCTGATCCAGCCCGAGTACGCCGTGTACAGCAGCTGCACGCCGCGCGGCTCCTGCATCACGGGGTGCGGCACCACCATGCGCGACAGCGACCCGCCCACCTGCAGCTGCTCGTCGTCCTTCCTGCGAGCCAAGACACCAGTCAGGTCAGCACCACCGCCGTCAGGCACAGAGGCGCGGGGCAGGCAGAGTGGTGAGCGTGTACTCACTGCGTGAGGGTGAAGGTCTCGTTGAAATCAGAGTCACCGATGAGGGTGATCTGGATGCGGCCGTAGCTCACGACAGGCAGCACGCTAGGGGAGCTCTCGACGCGCACGTGGTACTGGTGAGCTGCGGGGGGCAAGCATGCAGATTAAAACGCGAGAAAAGTGCAATGGAAACCAGGGAATGGGCGTCCGGCGTCCAACCCCGTTGGAGCGGACGGGCACACATGCCCTCGGGCAGGCGTGCGTGTGGGTTGCCTATCGTCAAGGCGCCTTGTGGCCCGCAGAGCGCATAGAGGACACACGGTTGCACTTGCGCTACTTACTACCCAGTAGCTCCAACGGGGCTGGGTAGCCACCCTTTGTGTTAAGTTTCAAACTTGGCTGAACTTCGCCAAACCTCCACCAAACTTTGATTAACTTTGCGATCGAAGCTCACGAAACTTCGATGAGAAGTTTCGGTGAACTTCAACCACGAACATGTTCGTGTTTTGCAAAACTGTAAACTCGACTGTGTAGATTAATTTATAGCCAATTTCCTTCTCGCCTGTCCGTTTGTCCCCTCGCCTGTGGAACTCACCGCAGAAGGGCTCCTCGTCGCGAGTGACAAGGAAGAGCGCGCCCCTGGCCAGCGCGCGGTCCGCGTAGTAGCCCATGTTGCCGCAGGGCCGGCTGGGCGGGTCGCAGGGGAAGCAGCGGCCCTGCAGGAAGCTGTCGTACGAGTCGCAGGCCGCGGCGGGGAAGTGGCAGCGCGGCGACACCGAGTCCGTGAAGAACTTGTAGGCGCGCCGGTGGTTGCACAGGCTGCGGGCCTCGTTCTCGGAGGCGGCTGCGAGGGGCGGAATGGAGAGTCTGTTAGCGTCCATCGGGGTGGGTTTGGAGATGCAGTGGGTGGGAGAGCGAGCGGTCCTTGAAGGAACTTACACCACAGGATGTCGGACACGGCGCCCACAAACAGGTTGGCGCAGCCCTTCTGCATCCTGCCGCCGTTGGGGTAGAAGTCGACGTGGCCGAGGGGCTGCCGCGTGCCCAGGCCGCCCAGGATCAGGTTCTCGCCGTTGCTGTGGATCACGTCCACGAAGTTGGCGTCCGTGGCGTCGAGGCGAGCGCGCGGGTCCTGCGACTCGAACAGCGGCCCCGCGGGGTCCAGGCCTGCGGGGGTAGAGACAGTCAGGGGTTAACACGACATCCTCAGCGGTGCTTCGGGTCAGAGCAGATCACGAGGAACCCAAGCCGTCGTACCTGTGATCCTGCTGAGGTTCTTGAGCTCGGCGCCGGCGAAGCCCGCGACGTGCGCTCCGAGCGAGAAGCCGATGACGTGCACGCGGTGCACGGGCAGCCCGGCGTGCTTCTGCAGCCCGGCCAGCAGCAGCGCCACCTGCTTGCCCACCATGCGAGTGTTGGCCGCCGCGCGAACGTAGTTGGGGATGGTGGCGCCGCGCTCCCAGTCCACGCAGATCACGTTGCAGTCCTCGACGGCCATGAGCGCGGACCGCATCTCGTACACCCACACATGCGAGCACGAGCTGCCGAAGCCGTGCACGATCACCTGCCAAAACGGTTAAACGGGCTATGTGTTAGTATGGAGTTTGAGTTTGAGGCGTTGCTCGTGTCGGGCTCTCTCTTTTTAGTTGGTACTTCTCAAACAATCGCCCTCGTTTAAAAAACACTCTTGTGCAGCCCTCCATACACACTGACCTTTGTCGGCGAGGAGGCGTTGAAGCGGCGCGCCGCGTCTGCCCAGACGCTGGAGAGGTTGGCGAATGGGACGTCGGCGAGCGGCACGTCCCCCCTGCGAACGGGACAGGAAGGAGGACACTGTTAATGCATGCCGTCTGTTTTGGGCGTCTCAACTAGACCCCACAGTGATGATTGAAATATGCAAATGCTGCGTGAGTAAAAACAAACTGCAGTTTCGAGACGGTGAGTAGTTTCCGCCAGGAAAGAATTCCATGTATACGACGTAAGTCCAGCTACCATAACACACCCGGAACTCCTACTGGTCCCCGGCGAGTTCGGTCCCTGCGTACCTGTTGCGTCTAGAGTAGAGCAGGAAGTGGGTGTCCACCTCCTCGGGCGGCGACGGCAGCATGTCCAGGTAGCCGAAGGGTCCCGAGTCCTGGAAGCACCCCACCTCCGGGTAGCATACCGATGCATCGGCGGCCCTCTTTCTCCTGAAACACGGACGAGGTGGAGTCAGTGGCGAGTTCACCGTATAGCGAGCGTGAGCGGCCGGGGAGCGTCCAGGGGCCTGTAGCAGACAAGGTCGATAGGGCAGGGCGGCGTGGTCGGCAGCACCAACACAACTCGATGTCGATGGCCCTAAAAATTTCCCTGGGCCATGACGTCACTTCGACGCGATGTTTTGAAGCAGGGTCCGTCGCCCTTAGTCCCCGCCCGACCCGACCGGCGACCGGCTCCAGAACATTCTAAAACGCCCGCGTCTATCACGTCGAGTTCGGGTCCAGCCCGGGGGAGAAGGTTTCCACGCGGCGGTTGTGTAATGCGCGAGGTTGCGGGCCGCCGGCGCCGGCGCCTGCAGGTGCGCTGCGCTGCCGCAGCTGCGGCCCGCCCCGCGGGGTCACTCACCGACAGCTCCGGGGACAACAACCGCACCGCACAACCGCT